GAGGACGACGACGACGAGGAAGAAGATCTTGGTAGCTTTGCCAACATAACACAGCATTGCGTCCTGTTTGCAAATTTGCTGCTGAAGGGCTCTGTGCTTGTTTCTGTGGATGGCTGAGGGGTCTGGGCTCTACGGGGGTTCACGTGGAAGGCATAAGCAGGACAAGAGAATGTGACGTTGATGAGTGGAGGGGCGTTAAAATATGCACACGGTATTTTGTGCTGCTAAATTTCTTGGTTGGATTATTTGCTCAAATTTGCACATGTAGTCTCTCCCTCTATGGGCTTGCTGTCGGCTGGGGGTTCACGTGGAGGCCAGGACAGCAGCTGGTGAGAGCAAGATGTCAATCTACGAGCGAAGCTTTTGTGGTTTAATTGCTCCTTATTTTTTTTTTGGACTTGTGACGATGCGCAACCAAACAAGTGTGGGACTTTTGGAGCTAATTAATTGTAACTACATGCAATCCCAACTCTTTGTGAACAAATACATACGTAGCCTAGTGCATAATTATTGCGTCCAATGGGGAGAAATACGGTAGTAACGTTTTTGTACAGTAGTACGCATACAGTCTCGACATCGATCTAACATTAGAAACCAAACTAAAAATACATCATACTTGCTACAAAATAAACATCTAAGTCAAATACATAAACAGGTCAATCGAAACTATTCTCTTCATCATTGGAGCGAATGGAGCTAGAAGAGAAAGAATTACTCAATATCATGCGCGCATATTAATTTCTCTTCATCATTGGAGCGAATGGAGCTAGAAGAGAAAGAATTACTCAATATCATGCGCGCATATTAATACGAAAACTCTAGACCATTTTGAACCTGTAGAAGAGAAAGAATTACTCAATATCATGCGCGCATATTAATACGAAAACTCTAGACCATTTTGAACCTGTGTGGCCATCGCTATACAAATTACAATACAACACAACACAATGTTAGAAGATTGTCAGCAGCTACATCTTCAGCCATAGCTTAGCCTTGAATCTAAGGATCTCATCTGAGTCTGACGGCGAGGGATCCCAATCTCACATGAGTTCACCCGTGCAGCAAACCGAAGGGAACATATCGATTCTCCTGCTGAGGATACCTCGGGAGAGATGTTCACGAACATCAGGGTTTTCGAGTCACCCCCAAGGCAAGGCTAGAAGATCACAGAAACAAAAATTGGATATAAGTTTACTGAGAATTAAATTGTGTACAAGGTTCACACTTACAAGGAACCTGTCATGAGCTTCACAGGAAAACACTCAAAACTCTTTTCATTAGAGGAAGCGGCACAAATATTTTCACTAAGCTACCATATGCATAACCACCATCGAAAAGTTACATGTGATATACATGTGATCTTCTCTAGATGAGTTCACCGCATTTTGTTTATATAAACTAGTTTAGTTTGCAGTCGACAATTGTAAATGCAGGTGGTTCAATCTTTTTACAAGTATTGCTAATCTCATTATAAGGTTTATGGCATCTTTCTTGAATAAATATAGTTTAAGATATTTCCTTCATAAACCCTGATAGTTTATGACTGCTTCCTAAAAGTTACCCCTAGATTAGTTTCAACTTAATGTCAGGATAGGTTATAACCTACTTCAAAATTTTGAGATGCAATTACCTGGAGAAGATATGTAAGCTTAGAGTTCCTGTATGGAACATGATCGTCTTTCTTCGCAATTGCAAAGATGACATCGCTCAAAGCTGATAAACTTTTGTTAATTGCCTATAAAATGCGCCAAAAAAAAATTAACAGTCTTTCTTATAGAACTTTAAAACAAAATACGATAAACTATTTACCATTAGAAAGCAATATTACCTGTGTTTCTTTTAGACGATCTCCAGTCGAACCACTTTTGGCCAGTCGCTCACTTCCAGCAAGATCAATAAGGTTAAGTACCCCTTGAACATGTTGATCCGTACTCTGAAGTTCAGTAATCACCAGTTAGAATTCATGTGCAAAACAGTAGGGATGTTATTAAAAAATGACTAAAGAGTCTACCTCATTAACTCCTGATATCCGTAAAGTAAAGACAAAATGACTTCGTGATGATTGTTCGTTCATTTGTGTCCTGCCCACAGACCTGGGAAAAAATTTGACAAATCTCTTTACATTTGTGTTCAATAACAGCTAAACAATGTGAATATTAGGCGTAATAAAGTGTAAAATTAGTACATGTGATAAGAAAAGCGACACTGAAGGATGTAAATCTTCTAGTCTACACATTATGGTTCTAGTATTGAAACATGTGTTCGCTTGGCGCAAGATAGTCACTTCTTAAAGACAACACTAGTGAAGGAAGTAACTCTTCTAGTCTACCTTAAGATTAAAGGCTTCTCAAAAATATCTAATAAAAATATTTTTCAAAATATGTTGCAATCCAAAAGAAATACGAGTGACCATCAACTATCAGAAGAAATGCTATTAAATTTTCATTCGTATCTAATTCAAAACATAATGGAATATAAATCTGTTTAAGAGTCAAATACCTGCTTTGTGCAGCTTGCCGCAAGAGAAATGAAACCTCCTTAATGCTGCAAACGTCCACAACTGTAAGATCCGATACATGAGTATTACCGTTAGAATCATGCTTGATTGCAAATTTGCTATGGGCAGCAGTAGCATCAAAATTGCTAGAACGAATTGGGGCCAACAAGTCACGAATGGTTTCATTGTATATCTCCAACATTGAGGCCTATAAATAATTAGAAGAAAAATAGTACTTTAAAAAAAGAATGTTTAAATAACCAACCGAAGCAGTATATAGACACTACTGACCTGCATTTTGTACTTCCAACCTTGACTTTCCAAAGATTGGCTGATCTGAAAAATTTGTTCTAACGAGCGAGGTATCAATCCTTTCTGCTCAGAAGCTTCTGGTTGTCCCATCATGGTATATGTCTTGCCAGAACCAGTTTGTCCATAGGCAAATATGCAAACCTAGCAAAAGTAGCACGCGAACATTTGAATTACCTGATAAAGTGACCTAAAGTCTACGATATGCTCATAAAAACAACAAGAGAAGGGACAATATTTAGGCAAGCAACTTATGTTGATTAACCAATTAGGATTCAGTGACCTTAAAAGTTCTAAGAAGATAAAAAACAGTCTCAGGTGAAACCCTTTAAAGTTTATGGAAATATAAGATTCACAAATAGATTGAAAAAGAGAGAGCAACCAACCTTAAAACCTTCTGACGATCAACTATGCACAAGCAATCTTTAATTCTTTATTGTATATCCTTAATTACAACTACATCTACTTTTTAACTACATCCTCCTCTCCACTTTTTTCACCTTTAAACACAAGTTAGTTGCTTTCAGAATCCTTCTCCTACTCCACATCTAAATCTTATTTAATTCATTGTGTCAGTATGAGTCCAATAGTAATTTGTAGAGATGTATATTTTTGGTTCTTTGTTGCAATCGTGTTGCCAATTATGTGGTGGTCATACCATGGTACTTACTAGTGTTAAGGAAAGATGAATGCTATTGACATGAGGACTTAAAAAAAATCCTTGCTGTTAAATTTAGATAAAATTAGAAAGGAACTTCTATTTACACGGTATGCATGATTGGACAGCAGAATGTAATGATATATTATTAACAAAGATGATAAGGAAACAATGCAATGATGAAGCAAATATAAGGTACCTTGTAGCCATCAAGTGCACTCTGTACAAGCTGTGAAATTTCCACAAATACATCTTCTTGTGACGCTTTATGATCAAATACTTTGTCAAAGGTGAATGAATATCTTTGATCTGCTCATGATGTGAATAATTGCAATTTACTATAACATAACCAATAAGCGTTAAGTTATTATGTTGAGGATGAAGACATATATAAGGATTTTACCATGGTGCATCAAGTCAATGCCTCGCCCAAGAAATTCAAATGATGTGGGGTAGGAAACAATAGCACCATCTACCTCATTACAGTCACTGTCATGTACTGGCCTCACTCTGCAAAATACTCGAATATTTCCTTTAAGCTCCTGAAGATTAAAACAACAATCATCATCCAAATAATTTGACTATATATCATGGATAGGTAAAGAGAAAAAAAAATACCAGAATAGTGTTATGCAATTTCTTGCGCAATTTCTCGGCTTCAAAGATCTGAATATCAGCATCAATAACACGATTTTGCAATACTTTTATCGTATTCTTCTGCTCTTCATATTCAGTCATTACTTCAATAGCTGTTAAGTCAGCTCTCTAGATAAATAAATGGAATGTGTCAAAACCAGGTCTTATCTTACATAACATTGACACAAGAATGGACTCACTTTTTGAGAAGGCAATTTTTGCCTAATAAACATATATATATGTTCATAATGCCAAACAACACTATCTGCAAAGGTGTTTACCTTCAGTTTTTCATTAGCCGCCTCAACTTGGGATTCTAATAGCTGGATTCGTTCCTTTTGTGAAGAGCATGTTGCCTGCACATTAATAACAACAACGTAAGTAATATAGCTATGAGCAACCAACTTAATTGATTGATAGATTAATTAAAGAAGAGGGTAACCTCAAGGGTAGTTCTAGTTGTCGTAATAGTATCCAACTCCTTGGAAGTCTTTCCAGTAAGTTCCTTGTAGTTGGCGAGCTCAATACTCAAACTCTGGACCTGTGATAACTGATGATCACGATCATCTCTTACTTGCTGCAGTTCGGCTCTAAGGCAACCAACTTCTTTTCTTAACTCTTCTTTAAGCTTTATAGCTTCTTGTTGAGAAGACTGAGGAAGAAGCCAGATAAAAGAACTCTTTGTTAGGAAAGTAATGTAGTACTTTGATATTGGAGAAAATAAGCATTTAATACAGTCTAGTAAGCAAATACTGAATGAAGAAGCAAACCCTGGAAGAGTCCAACTGAGACTTAAGCAAGTTAGTATGATCCCTTAAACTTGCAATAGTTTCCATCATTGCAGTCTTCTCTGTATGCATTTTTGAGATGGCTTCCCCAGTTTTAACAGATTCTGCCTGAAGATTGCTATTATATTGTTGCAAGCTGGTGTTATACTCCTGTAACCTCTTATTGGTATCTTGAAGCAATTTAATCTAGATGGTATTTGAAACAGGAAAAAAAGGTTAGCACAACATCTTAAAGTGTCAATCAGATATTTTAATTAACAAGGATACCTGATCACTATTCCGTTTCAAATCTTCTGTAGTTCTTTCAAGTTCCTCTGCTAATGAAGCTCGTAATCTATCTGAAGCAACCCTAGCTTCTGCTTCTTCCCTGAAAGATTTACTTATAGCCTACAAATTTATCCTAATTAGAAGTGGGGAAGGCAATGGAAGAAAACATGTTAAAAGTACACATACCAATTTTTCAGCTTCCTCCCTGCTCAACTTCTCCTGCAAAGACGCACATTGTCCCTGAAGATCTTCAATTCTTGAATTTAGTTCCTCAATGTTAATTTTCATTTGGGTCTCTACATAATATAATAATAAAGAACTATATTAGCAGCAAACTACATCAAACGGTAGAGGTTGTTGGAAAAATGCTAAGGGTGTATATTACACACCAACATAATAGCAGCAAACTTCAGATATCTAAAAAGCATCTTGTAAATGGAAGTTTTTTAACATATTAGGCTAATACCGAATTAGGGGAGAAATTGATAATTACCTATCTCGGCATGCCTTTTCTCTTCAGCTTCAGACAAACTCCTAAGCTTCTCCTGCTCCAATAGATACCCATCTTCAAGCTCCATGAACCATCTGATGCAAGCTTTTAGCTTCTTGATGTACTCTATCATCTGCTCATTTTTTCCCTGAAGACATACAATGCTTTCAAAAATTAGGGAAATTGTGAGGTTTGATTCAAAGTAACTATCACAACAAGTAGCAGTGTATAAATCCAAAGTAGAAGCACAAAGTAACAAGGAAAGACAGAAGTGCCCACAAACACTAATAGGTGCAAAAAAGGTAACAAGTAATGTAATGGCTAATTTCATTCCATAAAATATCACTGTTATACCAGGTATGTCGACATTAGAAAATGCAGCATACTGCTGAATTTCCACTCATATAAATTACTCAAAATTTATTAGTCAATCTTTAGCTTTTATTAGACGCAATCTGAAATTTAGCCTGTACCTACAGACCTTTTCAATAGCCAATCCAAAAGGTAAACATTACCTAAAAAACTATACATAGGCTATCAGTGATGACACTCACTTCAGAAACAAAAGATCTTAAAATCCTGGAAAGGATGAAACTAAACTGCTCACATGAGGACTATATTTTGGTAGAATCCCAGCACAACCTGGACTTTAGCCAAACCTTTTCTAATTCCAAGAAATAAAAACACGCAATTTATAAGGTAAATATCGCTTGCTGAATATTCATGGTCTGGAATTATCTATAGGAAGAACATGGATAGGAGACCGAAATGAATAAAATCCATTAACCATTGAAGGAAGGAAAAGACCACAAATTGTTAATACACAAAATCACCAACTCAACAACCATAAAATTTTCATGTTGACATTTGTTATCTACAACATACAGATAAAAGTTAACTTGATTAAAGCTTAATCACACACTAGGTCTCGTGAGATTTTCCTCCGCAGTCTATGATCTACAAAATGGACTCAAACTAGCTAAAAGTAGAAATCTCCATTAGCATTTCACTTTGAGCAAGACCTCACCTTCTTTCAACATTTCCCAATATAATTCTAACATAGATCTTATAACTAAGAAAACTCGCAAAAATGCATAAAGTTGATACCAAGATTTTCAAAGATTGGATAAAAACAACAAACAGAAAGCCAACACAATGTTTCATGAAACCTAAACTTATAGCATGATCTCACTCTTTCTCAGCTATTTCATCATATACATATCAGAAAGATTTTCTAAAGGAACAATGACACCTGAAAATAACACGCGCCATTAACTATGCAAAGCAAGATGTAACCCCTTTACACAATCATGAGCCTGTAGTCACAATACAAAATTTGTCCACAAATTGCATCAAAACATTAACAAACTAGCAAATACAACAACAACAACAACAACAACAACAACAACAACAGAGCTTTTATTCCAAATGTTTGGGGTTGGCTACATAAATCACATTCTTCCATTTCGTTCTATTGTGGGCCATCTCTCTTGTTAAGTTAACCATTATCATATCCTTGTTAATTGCTTCCAGGTTCTTTGAGGTCTACCACTAGATCTCTTTGCCCCCCTCACTTTTACTAACCAGTGCACTAAGAGGTCTCCATTGTACATGAATAAACTAGCAAATGAAAACTGACAAAAAAAATTACCTTGAGATCAGTTTTAAACTTCCCCTTTATTTTCTCACTGAGCAACCTCTCGACATCCTCCCTCGAGCTGAACTCAATCCCACCAACAGTACTCCCGGCATCAGAGTTTGCAGCAGACGTCGGATCAGCGGGCCCAACGTTGACCGCTGAAAGTACCTGCCGAGGCCGGAGATTGGTGGTATTGGGTCCCACCATCTTTCCAACTGTTATCCTCCTCCGCTTGTCCATGGGCGTCTCATCTAAATTCTCCTTCTATAAGAATCAGGGCATCAAATTAATTACCTCAATTTTCTGTGTGCTATCAGAAACTAGAGTAAAGTGTCCCTAGAAACCATAAACTCTGCGAAAGAGCAAAGAAAACAGTGGAATTCTAGAGAAATTTCAAGAAATTGAAGGAGGGGCCGAAGATTACAGTGGTCGAGGGGGCTCGAGGAATGTTCTGCCCACGCGAATACATCGCTTAAAGAAGAATCACTCCGCCAAAAAATAGCAAAAAGAATTAGGGTTAGGGTTTCAAACGGAGCTTTCAATTAGGCGCTGGTGGGGGCTTTGAGTGGAGTGAAAGGAAAGATCGAGGCGGTCGCAGCCGTTGCTCTCCCAACCAAAAACAATATAAAATTAAAAATTCCAACGAAAAAGATGTCCTGTTTTTTGTTCCTGGGCTCAAAATTAGGGTTCCTGATCGAGATGAGAGAGAGAGAGAGAGAGAGAGCAGGGGGGCTCTTTTTTCGATTTTGAAATGGAGAAAGAGGCGGACTTTGGAAAATCATTAACGAAAAAGGTGTCGGGTTTCGGGTCCAGACCCGGTTTGATCACAACGGTCGAAAACGTTTAACAGGGTCGTCCCCCAAACGTTGGATTATTTACGAGAAGGGATCTTTTTGAGTTTGGGGTTCTGCGAAATTGACTCCTTAGAGCATCTCCAACAGCTTCTCTAAAATTTTCTTCAAAATGAGGAAGCAAAAGTTATATTCTCCAAATTATTTTTACACCAATTCCAACAGCTTCCTCATTTTGAAGAATCTATTTTTTCCACCAAAAATTTGGAGAATGCTGCAAATTTGGGGAAGCATCCCCATTTTTTCTTCTCCACCCTATTTTGAGGAATGAGATGGAAAATCTGTTGGACCAAAAACCTAACTATATTCTCCAAAAGTAAGAAATGAGGAAGATGTTGGAGATGCTCTTACATCTTTATAATATTTTGGAATTTGCCCCTCAAATCATTGAAACTACTATTCAGACCCCAAATCAAAAATTAGTTCATGCAATTAGCGAGTTAGTAAAATTTAGACGGAATATTCAGGCAATAGACTATAATATAACAAGGGTTTTTAGGGATCAAAAAGCAACTTCCAAAAAGTTGAGTGGCTCATTTCAAAATATTAAATGTTTTGAGGGACCAATATTTATGAAAACACACTGAACTTTTCATTTTGTGGTTGGGACTCGCACTTCAATTTGGTGAGCTGGTCACATTCAAATTGAGACCCAAAGGAACTCAAATACATGGGACACGTCCATCCACAACATCTTGTTATGTAGACATGAAGAGATAATGAAATTTGGACTAGCAAATTAGAGGAAAAATGACTTGCCACTTACCCTTGTTAGGAAAAAGTCCACTAATTATCATCACATGGTTTCCTTTGTCCCTAATTAGAGGGCATGTGGCCACGATATCATGACATAGGCGGGGAATATAAGGTGGTTACCAATTTGGTGATCATGATTTGTTATGATAATGTGAATTTGCGACTTTTGTGGGAGGAAAGTTGAAGGAGAGCACCTAACTTGCAAACATTGTGATATAATTAATGGTTGCAAATGAGCTAAGGGTTTTTAAGTTATCTGAATAAAGTCGTGGTATGATATGTTTCTCTTCTTTGACTGCTAGTTGTTTGCGTCAAAAGTTGATTTTGTCATGGAATTCATTATATCTTCGGTCGATTACAATAAATTCAAAAAAAAAGATAGCCTTTTTATAAGACTCCTTTTACACAACAAAAGGAAAAATTACAACTCTTGAGAAACAAACGCAGGATCGTTGTTTGGATCGCTGCTTGCGTGGGATCTTTGCCTGTGCCGGGAGCGCTTTGACTCGTGGACCACCAAATCACAGATTCTGATTGAATCGTGAGGGGTTTAATGATTCTTCCTTCGTTTATCGAAGTGAGAATTTGAAACGATATCTTATCAAAGTAAGATAGTCGTTCTTCTTGAAATCAAGTCAAAGCTCGAATCTCAAGGGATTGCCGGAAGCTCAAGAACTCTGCTCTGTCTGCTCTGAAGTGCTCAAAATGATCAGCCCCTCTCAAAAATGGCCTTCGGGGGGTATTTATAACCCCTAGGAACAGTTGGCGGAAAACAAGCTCGCGAGATAGCAATTATGCCTGTGCCTCGGCTGCCGCGGAGAAAGTGTTGCTGTCTCGGCGGGCGAGACGTGTTTGCTGTCTCGGCCCGCGAGAGCAGTAAACCCCTGTCTCGGAAAAGGAATAATTGAACTGGCAGTTTTCCGCTGTACACTGCCTTTGCCGGAACGTTTTCAAACTCCGTTATTTTGGGAGCAGTTATCAAACAGGGTGATTCACTCGGCCCACTGACGTTATTCGCCACTGGTTTATTGAACAGTTAAGTGCCGAAACGTCGTTGGCGGTAATGCAAAGTAGTTTTTAACGCCTCTCGAGAGCTGTCTAACGCGAGAACCGTAAATTCTGTCTGCTACGGATCGACAGGTAAAGACTGCTCTCCACGGCGAGACAGTGAAAGACTGTCTCCAGCTGGCGACGACAGTGAAGATGTCTTCGCGTTGGCAGCAGTAAAAGGTGTCTCACCCGCGAGACAGTAAAAGACTGTCTCGCCACGGCAGACAGTCAAGTCTGTCTCGGTGGCGAGACAGTAAAGACTGTCTCCGTGCGGACAGTCTATACTTGTGTTCTTTTTGACATTTTGGATGACGTTCTTTTGAGCTGTAGTTGGATATCTGTCAGCATTTTTGACGCCTACAATACTCCCTCCAAGTATTCCAGACTCAATCTTTTATAGAGGAGTTCTGGGATGCTTTGGATAAGATAGGTTTTACTTATGATCCTTTCAATGCTTGATTGGTAGATATAGAAGACCTATAGATGGCTTCAACACTTGATCCTCTTTGTCTCTCAGACTATTCCAGTGCTTTGTAGAATAGCTAAGTCTTTCGGCATGGCGTTCATGCTTTGACCGAGTCTCCGAGATCGTTGAATTGAAGCTGAATTTGTACTTGTGAATCAGCTTTTGTCATCAAATTGATACCGCATTGTTAAATGTCTGTATCAGTCTTCATAGAACACAGTTTATACTCATAGTATTTTTTTTATTGAGTTCTCCGGGAAATAGTTTAACCTCGTATACCCGTTGGGAAGTAGTCAGTTATTCTTAAGAATATTTTGAGTGATATTCTCCCAGAAACTTCCTGTTGATGGTAGGGAAACAGTTGTTAGACTCGTGTAGCCTATTGGAGTAATATGATCTTTTTTGTTGGAGAGATGAACCCCCAATGATGGACGAGAGAAGAATTTTAATATTCTATCTCCCTGGTCCTCTTGTTCTGTTGGTAAGAGATGAACCGAATGATGGACGAGGAACGAATTTTAATTCTACTCTCCTGGTCTCATTGTTTGTTGGTAGAGATAAACCCGAAATCGGAAGAGGAATTCTTATGATTCTATCTCCTTGGTGTAAAGGAAACTCAAAATGAGATCTCCACTTAGAGAATCTGGATTGGTTTGAATAATCCTAACTGTCATAAGGTTTGATTATTCAATTCAAAGCTGGACCTTTCGTTCGCAAAATGAATCGAAAGGAGATTTTGGTTGTGGTCCTAACTGTAGTAAGGTTTGACCAAGTGGAAGTTTCGAGGTGATCCTAACTGTAGGAAGGTTTGATCACTCGATTTATGGACCTCTCGTTCATTAAAGGAATCGAGAGGGGATTTTGGCTTTGGTCCTAACTGTTTAAAGGTTTGACCAAATAGGAGTTTTGAGACGATCCTAACTGTAGGAAGGTTTGATCGCTCGATTTATGGACCTCTCGTTCATTGAAGGAATCGAAAGGGGATTTTGGCTTTGGTCATAACTGTTTAAAGGTTTGACCAGATGTGAGTTTGATACGATCCTAACTGTTTAAAGGTTTGATCGTTCAATTTGTGGGCATCTCGTTCATGGAAGGAATCGAGAGGGGGATTTTGGATTTGGTCCTAACTGTTTAAAGGTTTGACCAGACGGGAATTTGAGACGATCCTAACTATTTAAAGGTTTGATCGTCCAATTTGAGTGGACCTCTCGTTCATTGAAGGAATCGAGAGGGGGTTTTGGATTTGGTCCTAACTGTTTAAAGGTTTGACCAAAATATGAGTTTTGTGAGGGAAGATTGATCTAAAGAGGTGATCGAATCTCATCTCAGCAAAAGAGTGTTCGGAAATTATAATAGGAGTTTAGTATTTATCATTTTGTTCATAATAATCGGGTTATCCCTAAGAATATTATTTAACATTCTTCCGGGAACTTCCCGTTACATGAATTGTCGACCCCCAGCTTTCTTTGCAAAACTGGGTATAACGAGGAGTACATCATCCTCAGTCACATGTTCGGGTTATCCTTAAGAATATAAGATTCTCTAGGAACTTCTCGTTACATAAATCATCCACCCCCAGCTTCCTTTGTGAAGCTGGGTTTACCATTGTATTCAGTTGGATGACCGAGAAGCAATTTATACTCGTATACTCATTGGAGTGAGGGGAAACAGTTTATACTCATGCACCCACTGGAGTTAGAGTCGTTTTTACCCGGCTTGTTTCGCCGTTATAACGCCGGAGTCAATTAAGGCTTGGATTTTGTTTTTGAGTCCAAAGCAAATCTCGGTGGGATGAAGAACCCTTCGGTGATACGCACAGTAGTTTGGATCCATAACCCTCTTAGCTCCCTCCTGGTCTTTAATAGGTGGTAGTTCGATTTTGTCATTGGCGAGGAGGTATTTCAAAATGGCTGGAGCTTCATCATCTTCGAAAGAATACTCCTTTTGAAACCTCGGATCGGGAGTCGTGTTTCCAGTGATTGTAGATGTCGTCGGTCGGCTTCTCTCAGCTTTCTTTCTTTTAAGAAAGTGTTCAGCTTGTTCACCGCGCATTTTCAAATCTTTCCAAGTTTTGGATGGTACGACCCCCAGAGCTTCCAGAACATCGATAGAGAGATTATTGTGGCATGTTTGCAGAATGAACTCCTCTGTAACAGGATCTCTGCAATTCATTGCCATGTTACGGAAGCGCTTGACAAAATTGTCAACTGACTCTTCGTCTTTTTGCTTTTTCTTTTTCTTTATCTTCTAAAAAAAACTAATTTTCTTTCTTTTCTTTAAGAAAAAAAAATAAAAAAAAAATAAAAAGAAATATTTTGGTGTATGCAACAATGGATTAGGGATAATACACATCGATTAATTTGCTTTGAACCAATCATAGAAATGGAGCATCCTAATCCAATCGAAGGCGGGCCCACGAAGGGTGCCAACGAATGACCGGACCATTAAAGCCTCATTTCCGGAGATCATACCCAAATGAGACTTGAAATAAATCAAGTGCTGAATAGGCGAGCTCTTCCCTTCAAACGGTGTGAAGTTGATCAGATTGAACTTTGCCGGATACGGTATTGAATCCCATTCTCTTGGATATGGATATGGAATACCTGTCTTCTTCACTTCTTGAGCCGTCAT